ATCAGTATCAAAACGGAAAAAGAAGTCTACCAATTTCAAGAAGTCCAAAAAGATAAAAGTAGAAGCAAAAGGGTCTGAGAGAATGGATAGTGATAGTGCAAATTCATTAAAGCGTAAGAAGAATGTTCTGGATTCATCGTTCGAGAATGTTCTTTTTTTAAAGAAGAAAAAGAAGTAATATCATAAATTGGAAATATGAAAAGCAATAAAAACATCTTGTGTAACCTTATTCAGTTGTTGTTGTTTCTTTAATTTTTCATTTACATTACTATTTTTGTTATGTTTTGATATATACTATATAACAAAAAAATAATAACGAAATGCATTTGTAGTCATCTCTGTTTTGCGAATATCGATTCGTAAAGTAAAATGAATGATAAAAGTATGATGAAAAGATGTATAATCAAAAAAGGGAATTAATTCTTGATAGTACATATGATATTAAATCAATTTAACTAAACCATTGTTTTATTATACGTTATTCTTCATTAATGTAACTCCTTTAAATCAAATAAATAATATGCGCATAGAATTTATCTCAACCATTACTTATACTAAAGGGTAAAAGAGTAATATACAAAAAAAGGGAAAAAGTAATGTAAATTTTAAATAACATTTGATAATAAAAATTTGATTAGCGTTTCGAGATACTATGCACTTATTTGTCGTTACTGCCACTAGTTTGAATTGAATAAAAAATATGAGCATAAAATTGAAAGCCACTCTAATTCTGTTCATGGCTCGAAAAAGTATTAGAAAAAAAAACGCAGATTAGTAGCTCTACATTTCATGTAGTGCTAAAAAAGTGAGCTCTATTAATTATTTGAGAAAATATTCCATCAACACGAATCCAAACACGAAAAACGTTCGCTTACAAGTGCAGATCACTCTTATGTTTTACGTGTATCGTTGGTCTGAGTGCCATAATGACAAGGGGAAAATGTGTATGCGCGATGCGCATTCAATCAATGGTTTGACACGAAGCAGTTTGACATACAAGGTCATCAGTGCTTTTTGCATATGTGCGGAGTTATTTATCGATTTGTCTGAGTTCATTTACCTATTCGTCTCCATATGTATCTCAATTGCAATTCAAATGTGCTCGCAAACAATGTGCTTCTCTTTGACACAAAATGCCAAAGTTTCAATGTTCAGCGGACACGCTAAAATCCAAAACAATTTGAGTTGAGGTAGGTACATCTGCGTGGTTTCCATTCATACTGGACCATAAATTATAATTATTATAACTAAAACTCCACTGATAAAAGAGTCGAGAAATTGTTATTTTTTCGTCGCTTCCAGCAAATGTTTGTGTTTTTTTATCGCCATTGAAAACAAAAGAAATGATTAAGGCTAATAATAATTGTGATGACCAGATATGCGCGAGTATGGGCGCAACTTAAAGATATGCACTTAATCGAACACACAGCCATTGAAAACATCATTAGTTCGATTGAAAATCGTGTAATTTCTTTTGCATTTTCCGAGCCACAAGTGTGCCTTCATTCACATGCCATCACGATGAGTGTGATTTAATTCGAGAGTGAGAGTGAATGCTGCTGAATAGAGATTGTCTTATGAAAGTGAAATTGATTTCTATTTGGGAATTAATTTGTGTGTAAATATTTCATCTTATTCATTGCAATGCAATGGCACTATGTGGCATCATTTCACTTAACGCTTTGGCGAGACTCGTAGCCATTGCGTTAACATTTGTACAACAGCAACAACGCAGCCCATACAGGCCCGTTTGTACATTTGTTCGCGAGTTCTCGCGCAAACGAAAAAAATAAACAACAGCCGAACGAGAGAAAGAAATAAAACAATCTGTTAACGGTTTTTTGTTGTCGTTTTGCTCTTTTTGTTCGTCTGGGCCCATGCAACCGCGTGTAATGACATATTTCACTAGATTTATGTCTGAAGTAATTATAAATAGCTGCCTTTTTCAGCACATGAGCCACTAACTGGTTCGCCCAAGTTGAATCGCATCTTTGTTTGATGTGCTGACCAGCACATATATTCCTCATTCATAATGGTGCGATGTGGCTCTGCGCGAAATGTGGCTGCAAAAATGCGACAAGCAATGAACACTTCAAATCAATGCATCGCTGTTCGATCAGCAATTTGTTTGGCATGATGTCGTCATTTTCGGTCTTTGTCTTTCGGTGCAATGCTTTGCCGCACAATTTTATGGAGAAAAATAATACAAGTTTGCCGTTGAATGGAGTTTTTACGTGCAGGTTGGCTTTTGATAACAGTCGCTCACATTTCGCAACATCACTTCATTTTGCAGCCTGTCTCGTGTGTGTGTCCCTCGATGATGTGGGAACTGTATGGTTTTTCACGATAGATAAAATTGTCGTTGATGCTGGTTGATTGTTTAATCGCAAATGCCACGTTGTGAATACTAAAAAAACCCATTTTCATTAGATCATAGCACAATTAACCGTGTGTAACACCTGCTCTATCGCGAACTTGCACACAAAAAACATGTACAAAATCTTACAATTACACTCGCAGAGTACCGCATCGCACTACATTCGGATTGTAATCTGTTTCGTCAACGCCGACAAAATAGCAAATCTTGATTATGGTCTCCAGTATGTGCATTTGAATATACGTTTGTACGTGCAAATAGATTTGCACCTAAAGACACTATAATGTCTATGACAATAGACGTTTTGTAATGTCTCTTGGATTAAAAAAAAACTAACACCAAAAATAACAGCAAATTATAGACGAGCAAGACTATTAAACGATGGCACAAAACGTGGATCGTTCTTTACCCGAACTCAATCTATCATGCACGTGCCAAACAATAGAGACGCCATTTTTATGTGATTTCGATTGTAATAGCAATTTACAATCACAAACACCGACGATACGTGAACTTTTGTGAATGAAACAAAAATTGCGTAAACAAACGGATCATACGTGCAAAGATAATCGGACAATAAGGCATGCCATCGTGCAATTGCCGAAAAAATGAGGCAAAAAGCGCTTCATATTCAGTGTAGGCATGAATTTTATAGTTGATCGACAAAAATATCGTCGTGGATGGGCCATGCTGTGCATATACTTTATCGATCAATGATTCGAACATCTTTATTTACGAGACCAATTCATTGATAATAATTGACGACATCGACAGTAATTTTGCGGCAGTTTGCATAAATGAAATGTGTCAACATTAACACACTACAGTCAACTTAAACTGAGCATGCAAAATCCATTGTACTCTGTTATTTTAGTTACTGTCAACAACCAGCGCAAAGAGTGGAAAAAACGAAGCTGAAGACGAAAACAGAAGGCAGCAATTTCACTTCGTGTGGATAACTAAATAATTTTGTCTTGTTATGCACGAGACGAATTAGGCTGACAAAAATATATTCTGTCAGCGGGCCGGCCAAAATTTACGCGTTTTTATATATTCCCATCGCAATTGAATAAATTATCATTATTTTGAAAGCATGTCCCCCTGTCTCCAAATGATGTACTTGTGTTTACATAACAAAGTGAAAATTGATATTCATTCAATTGATTCACAATTTTCGATGGTTATTGATCTATGTGCGAAATATTTCAGTAGAAAAAAAATTTCACCATTATTTAAATAGCTGATAATTTCGTTTTTTTTTTCTCTTTTGAATTTATAGCAATCAATGAAGGAAGCTTTCATAAAAATGAAATCGAATGCTAATGTGCTATTTCCCTGTAAAATATGATTCATTTGAGGAATTTGAGCAATTACATTAAAAATGGCATGCCATTAATTGTTTTTCTCTCTCGTTCAAACGATGCAATTATAAAATGACAATCCCTTTCAAATTCCCAATATCGGTTGTTCTCGAAACATTTGAAGGCTATTCCGATTTGTAGCATCGTCAAATCAAAGTGAGTCTTCACTCTTCAGTATTTCAAACGCCGAAGAACCATTCTCGAGGTATTACACAATTTGCAGTTGTGCTTATCCGAATCATTGTTAATGAATGGTTTGCATTCGATTGCTTTGAATGACAGGCTTCGAGCAGAATCGAAACGCACCGTTGTCAATGCACCGAACATCACTGAAAAATCGGTAAAAATTTACTCACGTCCACAGATCATCTTTATTATGTGATCATTTTTTTGCGATGTTGTCAGTTTTTTTCTCTTTTCAATTATTACTGGAAACGTCGATGTGAAGACAAGGCCATCTGCTTGTCGAATCACATGTTTTTATCCACTGTTTTATAAATATTTTTCTGTTGAATTTTTTTTCCTGCAATAACTCATGTGAATTTTATTTATCGTCTTCATATCAAAAGGCGAATATTAAGGCAAACGCATGCGAAGAAATTGATTTTTCCTCTCCATATTCAGATGTTGTTATCATTTGCATAGATATACAAAGATATGGGTTCAAAGCCGGTGAAGGGGAAATCTGACATAGAGATTAAGATGTTCCGTGCATAAGATTGCAAACAACAGAAAGGTCATTCGAAAAAGAACGCTCTTTTTTTATCGGATATGATAGCGAAGTGTAGGAAAGACGACTGCCCAGAAACAGTTGTCTGCGATTATTTTTGGCACAACCATGAATTCCAATGTAAAATCACTTGCCTCACCGAATAGTGATAGTTCTTTGTTTTGCTGTTAACGGGAAAATAACCATATATATATCACATAAGTCGCGGTATTGCATAGAATGATCGCATTGATGAGTGATTGAAGAAGCGCGTGTATACGTTCGACTGGCCATGGTGGGGAAATTTTGCCAGCATCGGATCGAATACACAAAGAAGTAGGTTAACTTTGCAATGTTCGATGCTTCGATGTTCCATTGCAAGTGCCTGTATGTGCTGCACGGTGCGGTTTACATCAACACTGCTCGCGACCGCGCTAACGCGAACACAATATGAAGAAAGAAGAGAGATAGATGTCGACGGCGATGATGATGATGGTGTGCCAGCGCTTGGTGATGGGGTATTTAGGCCAGGCTATAAACTTGGGTGCCGAACGTTTTGCCAACCAGTCAACATCGATCCGTTCGCCCGCTTTGTTGCCACAAGTAAAGCTCCTCAATCGTTTCAACACTGTTTGTTCGGTGTCTGTTCGCGTGTCATAGTAAAATCTACTTGGGTGTGTTATTTTGGTGAAAATCCAATTGATAAAATTAAAAGGTAAGTTCGAATCAAACAACTGGCTGGTGCGAGCGACTGCGCCATGTGAAGAAAGTTCTTGTTTGCGTGTGTCGATCGGTGTGTACTGTAACATGAGTGCGATAAATCCAATTTCATCGGTTTAATCATTTAGAAATTAAATTCAATGTTCGATTTACATCTTGTTAATTTCTCTTTGCCATGATGTGTCGAAACTCGTTTCAATTTGCAATTGCACGCGCTCGACTTGCAAAGTCAATGGGGCAATAATTTAAAAGTGAATTGGTCCGGAATTTCGTCTCAACCGGATATAGCATAAGAATTTTCTAATTTATCTCGTCAAACAGTTCAGCCATAATAATTTATTAATAAATTCATCTTGACCTCAGTAATTTCTTCGCAATGAATTATGTGTGTTTGTTTGTGTGTGTGAATCAAATTAACTCGAAAAATATTCATGACCAAAACGGGGGAAAATACCGTTTGAATTCTTAATAATTGCGTCAACTTCAATGTCATCTCTGTTTTCTCTCATATTGGATTTTTTCCACAAACATTATCTGGTGTGGCACAATTTTCCCGCATTTCTTTCAACGATTCGTTCCCAATAGGTGTTTGTTTAGTGATGTCATCGGTGAAGTTGGTTTCAGTAATGAGCAAAACTAAATAGTAAAACATTTTATTTACACGATTTAACGACTTGACAATTTCTTTTGTTATTTTTAACTGACCGACATTCGAAAATGTTCATAAACTTATTTTTACTTGAACGATTGAGCAACTGGACGATCCCTTGAATTGGTGACTTGATTTCAATTTCCATTTCCATTTTGATACCATACTCTATGGTTAATCGAACGATTTATAACGCATCATCGTGAAATTGCTTGAACTATTTTTATAATTTTTTTATATATCGCCATCACGGAATGTGTGTAAATAAATCTCCCGAGTAAATGTATGTATATTAATTTGCATATGCGTCTGCTTTTAACACAGAAAGGCATTCAAAGAGATAATATTCGGCATTATGTGACATAATCATCAATCTGAAGCCCATTTGTTGGGAATTAATGTAGGCAGACACGTACCGTTAGAGGCACGCTAACATTCTAAAATGTATAAATTTTTACCGATTCCGACCATTTGGAATTTGTCGTTTTTTTCTCCGTATTCAAGTAAGGTTCAATAAACTGAACTTGAAGAAAAAGAAATAAACATTTCACCATCGTTAAGATACATACAAAGATCTCTCTCTCTCTCGTTCGCATCGTCATTGACCAAATGAAATTCAATAAACTTGTTTTCGTTCTGTTTGCGCTTTTTTCTCTCGTCCGCTTGGTATTTCACCTATATTTTCTGGCTGATACATTTTTTTTTATCTCTCTTACTTTATTCTGTCACAAATCACACACAGACACACATACAGGCGCATACTTTTGAGGCTCATTCCTGTCATCTAGAGCCATTTTACTGTCTTTACTTCAATAAACTTCATAAATCTTTCGTTGAGTGCAATGTGCACTCTCTGTTTACAGTCAATAACTCTTTTTAGAACTGGTGCACCAGCTCTTTTCTGTCTCGATATGCGTTTGGCCACACAAACAGAAACAATAGCATGTTAGCCGATCGCCAGCGAAAGAATAAATACGCTTAAACTGAATGAATCGATTAAATCGCTTCATGCGCTAAACATAAAAACCACTTCGAATCGGAACAATGTACTTATGATTAACCGTGTTCCCGCTATATTTAGCTCATTATAATGATGTGCACGTCTCGTGTTGTCTGTGTGTGCCGCCGCCGCCAACAACAACAGGCGATTCGCCACTAGGTGTGAAGTTTTAACTCACACACAAATGTTTACAATCTCCATTGTTTTGACAGCCCAGTGGCAATTCAATGGTGTTTAAGTAGCTGAATTCTCATCGCACACAAATACGCTCATTTTTTGTTGCTTTGCATAATACAATTGGCTCAGTAACCAACAAGACAAGATTAATGGCAAATCACGATTGCTCATAAATACAGTGTTAAAAATAATCGAATGCTGCGCGCGAAGAAAGTTTTTCATTATTATTATTTCGATACTTATTACAACCGACCAAAAACTGAATGTAATCTAAGCACACTCTTCAATAGATATTGAAATCTTTTTTTTTCTCGCTTCTCTCTCGCTTTCTTAATAGTTGCAATTAAAAGCATATTTGGTTGCTATTTTCATTTTGCATGATGATTGAACATTACACGTCGAAGAATCTTATGTAAACGGTATAAGCACACATAAACTGTAATGTTCGTAGGCAAGTTCAAAATGAAAAGCGTGATTGAACTGCGCGCCATTTCAAAAATGAAATACCTCAATTTGGTTTACGAAAAAATGTGTTTTCCAATTGTTCCTCTCCCTTACTCCACAACTGTTGTACCACGCGCGTGAGCAAATGATTTACTTATGGTCGGTATCAATTTCGCGGTGATGCCAAACAGTTGGCTGCACATTAAACTCAAACAACAGAAAGAAAGTAAATCTTTCTTAAAATGTGAATGAAAGAAAAAACAGAGTTGAAAAGTGTCGAAACAACGATGAAATTAAATCTAAATAAATAAATTAGAAATTTCACTCTTTCCGCGAAACCTCTTTCCTACTGAGGTAAGATGCCAAAATAAAGAAAAACACTGCGTGAAAGCCTACAGTTTAACGTTTTTTTTATGATAACTTCATTTTTTTTACAAATCTGCTGTATGAATGAAATTGAGGAAGAGGAAAACTAGCGTAGAACGTCGAGTGTCTGGCTTGTGAATAGTATCAATGAAAATAAAACGTTCATTTGCCACTACAGTTCCGAAAGCATCGCGGGCGACAGTAAAACAAGACAAGTTTCTTGCAATGAAATGTTGTATTATTGGCGAACATTTAGCGGTTCGCGGTTTTCACATAAACAAATTTATTCTTCTCACAACGTTTATTAACATCTCGACGCAAATCGAAGATTGCAAGAAAGGTGCGACACTTTCTCAAAGATGCATTTCCAACGAAAGTGCGCTGTTTTGCATGAACGGTGGCATTACAAGGGAATTTTCGTAATTTTTGTTTTTGTTCGTTAGTCGTAACTCTCGAATCCAAAAATAACTACAGAGTCGTGGTCGGAATGAGTAGTTGCCCGTTCAATCAATGCAAAATGTCTCGTGTCATTTTATTGCGATAAGACCGCAACAAAATTCCGTAACATTTGATAATCCATCAATTTTTTTCTGCATTCAACTATTCGAGACTCACATGAAACGCTAATGGCCTGCAGTGCAATCAACCAACGACCAAAACAAAGACCATATTTTCGTTGTTCGATGAGCTGCTCAAGAGTATGGGCACGATTGATCGCATGGTATGTTCAATTTGCATTGTATCGATTGAACGACAATTGTTTGCTGTGAATCCACTTAAAAAACTTTCACAATTAAATGTACGCACGATATGACTCTGGGTACGTTGTTTATTGTGATAATAAACATAAAGTGCTCGATGAAGAGTCGGAACGTTGGTTGGCGCACGATTGCCTTATGAGAAAATTGCTGCTTTTCAAAGCGTTTCGCCATTTGCTTTGTTTTTTTTCTCATAAGCATCATGACGAACTCACACTTTGACCGTGCTATTTGCTTCAGTTCAAGTGTAGGAAAAGTCAAAATAAAAGAAAGTTTTCGATGGATTAGTTTTTTTGTTTTTTTTTTTCTTTTTCTGACTTAAAATTTTTGATACACCACTCATCATCGATCTTCAGGCAAACAAATTGAACTTTTGGCCTTAACCACCTGTTCGCTCGGAACGAATAGATTTAGATTTTGTGTCTGCAATCATCTGATTTCCCTGTGGCACACTATTCTCTTGGCATGCACTCGTTCGCGCAGCATGCAATTAGCCAAATCTAAGTGGTTTATCCGTCCGCGCGAACGCTGCGCATGATGTATTCAATGTCACTCGATCAACTTCAATGTTAATCACCAAAGCAAAAAAAGCAAACAAACATACACATCGTCCAAGCAGAACCATAGAGTCAATTAAAATAAGCAGCCGATGTTTTCTTTTTCTCATGCGCTCGCCACACTGTGTTAACATACTGCAGTTTTATACGCGTTCATTTCATCGCTTATTTATCGAGTGTCTTTTGAATTTGATGTATGTAGAAACACCTCATCTTCGCGTTAAACATCGGCCGAGCATTTAGCGACGGTGTGGAATGTTCAAGTGCGCGCACTCGTTCAGATTATCAACACTTGTATAGATTGACTGTAATTGTGTGTGTGTGTGTGTACAGAACTACACCTCGGCATTGATTTTGTTTCTCTTTTGATCCGCAGTGACATTGATTTCGAACCGGAATCCACGCACTTTTTTTCTTTCAATAAGATACGATATTGCTCGACATCGCCTGCCCGAACACTTACTCTTCTTAAATTAATCTTGTACTTTCAACGATCTGTTTTTTTAATTAAAAAAAACTACTGCTCAATGGATCGACGTCTGTCGCATTTTCATTAATGCCGATTGTTATCCACTAGCGGTATTTCAATCCAATTACGTTGATGCGATCTTAGTACCAATTACTGATGGTAGACCCGGACCTCACCAAAATCAAAATTATTGACACCAATTTGCGAGACAATCATAAAATTAACGACAGCCTGCGACAGCTCTTCTTATGTTTGGATTTAGTGAAAAGCAAACAATTTCCCTTTTCTTTTGATGCGTGTAAAGTTTCACTTGTCACAAGAGAAGAATATAAATTGTAGCCAAAAATGTTGTCAGCCAAATTCCGCATATTATTATGCAGATCATGCTTTGGCTCTGATTGGTTGTTTGATCGAATTAATAGCGAGAGGCAGCCAATCGTAGTTTGCATTTGATTATATCGAGTATTTTGCAACATTTCTCTCGAACAAATTCCATATTTCCAGCGAACAAATCAATTCATTCGCATGAATGAACTACTAAAATGTACAACTTCCCCGATTATTTGATGGAATCAATTAAAAACAACACAAAAGACAATGGGCCATTGATGAGGTTCTCATGCTTCTGAACAAATTCAATGAGTCGTTTACGAATTATCAACAACAAATGATTAAATGTAGATCAAAGAGGTAAACACAACAGAGAAACATACATATAATTGCTATTTTCGTCCATAGAGTTGATAGAGGTTTTGCATTTGATTGATTCATCAATTGAATGCAAATGTGGAGAGAGAAAAAAAGCCGATGATTATGTTTATCATACAATGAATGCGGAAATAGGTGCGGATATATAATTGAACTGCGGTTGAACGCGATTCAATGAGAAATTAATGTGGAGCAATGCGTTTTGCGTTGAGTTGAGTTGAGTTTCAAGTCATATACACTCGCACACAAGTGGCAAAAGAGATCCCAATGCAAGCGCAAACGCAAGCGCTCTCTGGAATTCATTGGGATCAAGTGAAATCGTTTTCGCGAGTGAAACTTCAAGCGCATTACTGACGTAATTTCGCCGATGTGTGGATTTTCTCTTGGAAATATGGTTTAGTAATTCTGTTTCTTGGTTTCTCTTTGCAGAATATGTCGGTGCTACGCACGTTGACACTTCTCACAATCGGCGCCACAATTGCGTTGGCACAACGTCGCTTGGCTCTACCCGATCCCAGAAGCTGCGCAAACCGTAAGTTTATGCCAATTCTTTTTTTTTGCTTCTTTTTTCATGTAGGCTCATGCTTCTGGAAAATTTCGATCAACGATGATAAAAAGAAAACTGAAAACTAGGGAACCGAATCACGAATAATGCGTCCACACACACGGAATGCACTCATTTTCTTTTCTGTTTCGTGTACAAACTGTTGATCGTTTCGTAATTCAGAAAACAATGCGCTTCTTTGTATGGAAAAGAAAAACGAAAAATGATGTACTTTGAAGCGCGTTGTTACAATGGGTGTATGGGTTGTTAAGCATTTTTCAAGCGATAGAAATTAGTTTGAGATTTTTTTTCGATGCTGTAACGAATAATTGGCGGCAAACAACAGTTGTTAGCTGTTAATTGTCAAAATTATGTAAGTGGAATTTTGATTTGATGAATGATTTTTTCTGTTGTTCGTGCGATTAGGTGTTCGTCATTCCACGTATCGAGATGCTCGTGGTGTGGCTCATTCATACTTCTTCAGTTGGGAACATGGGCCAACACGCAACTTAGAAGTCGATTGGCTCGACGCTAGAAACATTTGCCGCAGACATTGTATGGATGCTGTTTCACTTGAAACGCCTCAAGTAAGTTTCACTATCAATTGAGTGACCCAGTTTTTATCAATTTGATTCACTACTAATCGCGGTGGTTTTTACTTCAGGAAAATGAATTCATTAAACAAAGATTGACACGAGGTAATGTTCGTTACATCTGGACATCGGGTCGCAAATGTAACTTTGCTGGTTGTGACCGAAGTGATTTGCAACCACCAAATGAAAATGGATGGTTCTGGTCTGGATCAGGCGCTAAAATCGGTATGTTTGAAGGTTCCACATTCGAATGATACAGATTTTTGAACGTAAATTTTCATTGTGTAGGACCAACATCTCAACGCAACACTGGCGACTGGAGCTACACTGGAGGATATGGCCAAGCTCAACCAGATAATCGTGAAGCTGCACAAGGTATGTGCATGAGAATAACTTTTACTTGTTTCTTTTGTGAAATAAGAAAAATGTTGTTTTTCTCGTTCGTGAAAGTAATCGCAAATTTCCCCTTATTTTTAAAGGTAACGATGAATCGTGTTTGTCGATCTTGAACAACTTCTACAACGACGGATTGAAATGGCACGATGTTGCCTGCCACCACTTAAAGCCGTTCGTGTGTGAAGATTCCGATGAATTGTTGAACTTTGTGCGATCACGTAATGCAGGTATTCGTTTGTAAATGAGCTATATTGAGCACGTGTTCTGACGTGGTGGGCGTTGTCTGTCGAATGAAAAAAATCATCTCACGCCGATAAAACATTGAAAGAAAAGTGTGAAGGGAATTAAATCGATGCATCAAATCCAACAACCTGAATTCAGATGAATGAGAAAGAAAAACACCAAAAAAATCACTAACAAAACACGCACACATTCAAGTTTCTACACGTGAATTTATATTATATATAAATTGTTATGTACACCTGGTAAATTTGTCTCGTTTCTTTTTCGGATTGCTTACATACTATCTGTCTGTTTGTTTTTACTTTACTTCAATCAATAACTTTTATCAATTTATACAAATGACCCCTACTTGATTGAAATTAAGAACTTTCGCACCACAAAAATGGACTCCCCTTTCTATTCAATCCAAAAAAACCTGCCCAAATCAGAATGTAATATCGGGCATAATTTGAATTTATTTCTGCCCAATTTAGAATAATGTCCGGCCAAAATAGAAAATATCTGACCATTTCCGATCCAACCATTGTATATGACAGAAACATTTTGTTAAGACAACACACTCACAAAGAACAAATTAGCGAGTATTGATCTAAAAAATATTTATTGTATTTTCCGAAGATAAAAATAAAGATTTATTCTTTACAAAACTAACAAACCCAAGCGTTTTTTCATTAAAAATGAATTTCCAACGAATTATGGCTCAAACAGAAGATATTTCACATATTGAACCTCGAGAATGAAAAATCATAAAAAATTTGCTTAGGAAAAAAAAAGAGTTGCGCCACCGGGTGGAATCGAACCACCAACCTTTCGGTTAACAGCCGAACGCGCTAACCAATTGCGCCACGGAGGCCCTTGGATGATAGCTAACCGAATATACTTAAATACAGAAAGACAAAATACGTGCTGCTGCCGCAGAGTGACTGAATGAGCTAAAGTACACACCAACACGCTAAGTACACGTAAGCCAATAGAAACCATACACAGTTGTACAAATATGATGACGTTTTCCCAAATGGAATTTATGTTAATAACAGTTTTAGCAGATAATTAAATGAATTCTCGTAATCGTTCTTCGATGTCACTGCCCACAAACTATTACGGCACAATTTCATAAAAAGAATTTGTCACAGCATTGGCGTGTTTTAACATTTATCCACGTATTATCAGCATGTATATAAAAACTTTGTTGCTGAGTACCATTCATATGAAATCTCATATGAAATTAATCAAAAACCAATTTTTTTTGATGAATATAAATTTTTTTGCTATACGAAATTCATAGTTACTCGTGGATAGTTTAAAAAAAAATTGAAAAAATTGTTCGCCACCGGGTGGAATCGAACCACCAACCTTTCGGTTAACAGCCGAACGCGCTAACCAATTGCGCCACGGAGGCTATGGTTTAGAGTGCGTCAATGAAAAATTACAACTCCAATGAATCTATAATGGAAAAAAACATTAAAAATGATTGAACTACAAACGTGATAAGAATCATAGGATCTGAAGTAGGGTTGTCTGAGGTTGATTTGATAGTTTTTCAAAAAATCTATGTTATGATTTTCAAAGGGAATTTTCATTGGATTTTCAAATGCAAATTTTACGTTTCAAAGTATAGGTTTGATTAGACGACTTCAGTAACCTTAGGTATGATAAGGAAACTGCTTCCTTAGCGATATGACACATTCGTTGGCATATCGAATTTCTAATAAAATTGATCTTGGGGCTGTAATTTTTCATTGATACCCTCCAAATCATAGCCTCCGTGGCGCAATTGGTTAGCGCGTTCGGCTGTTAACCGAAAGGTTGGTGGTTCGATTCCACCCGGTGGCGAATTCTTTTTTCGTTGTTAGCAAAATTATTTGAATTTTTTTGTAGTTCAATGCAGCATTTCAATTTTTTGATACTATTTATACTATTTTTCGCGTGTTGAATGGGCCAATCGGAGGGGAGAGTTAAAATATGTTAAGATTGACCAGATGTCCCAGACTTGAATACTATTTAAATGAATGAAACGGGAATAGAGGCTTGGAACACATTTCCGTATATAATAAGCTTGAATTCCATATCCAACTACGTATTCAAAGTAAAAGAGAATCCAAAAATTCATTCATATTCTATTTATTGATCTAATTGTATAATATAATTTCGATTAAAGGAAAAAATAAAAATAAGTATTTAGCAGTGAAGAAAAAGAAACTGAAATCATAGTTTTGGGCAACTAAATAAATACTCTGAATTTCAATAGTCTAAAGTAGCTATACATTGGATTACGAATATTATCTACGTTTAGATTTGATTTGTGGTAGTTAAAAGGCTATGATATAGAGATATTGATATTTAAAAAATAAGGAGAATCATCTAATTAAATCAAATCCCATAACAAAATATAAAAGTGAATACATGAACCGAAAATGGTAAATGGACCGATCTATGATGTTTAATTATTATATTTCATTGCTAAAAGAATGCTTTTTGCGTTTGTTATTGACTTCAGAAAAATATTTATTAGAGCTGCCCATCAATTGCACTTTCATTAGTTTGCGAATAGTGTGTTTTTTTTTGTATGAAGCTTTAAACGCTATTACAATTACGTTGGTTAAAGTTTGCTTGGTTATCATGTATACCGACATCAGTTAAGGGAATAGCAATAAAAAATTGTTAGATTGTGAAACTAAGGTTTAACAAAAACAGAAAACGAAACAGAAAAATAACATACCAGGTTAATGGCATAGGACATATATAGAAGAAAATAGGGTAAATAATTTATAAGGCAACGACAGAAATTTTGCATTAAATCCTAAGACAAATGTTTTAAATAACACACGATTCACACAAAATGCGAATCACAGCAGAAATGATAAACTATTTCATATTTATGCTTATACACTAAAAATCGAATGAGAAGAGCTACACAATTCAATATTGTTCCGCAATCGGAACGAATATTGAAAACATCTTACGTTCTTCAATATATTTTATAAATATTATTTTCAAATAAATTTTGAATGTAAACGAACGTCAATGATCGTTCACACCTCATCAATACTATCAAATATTACAAAATGGTGTTTATTTTGGTTTTTCTGTTTTGCTTAACTTTAAATCGAAATTTGTTGTTTTCCATCGACGAAAAAAAAATTGTGTAGTTTTGGTTGATTTTTTTTATTGAATAGTTTTAAGATTGATTTGCGATTTTCCAAACATACAGTTTTTTGTCAATTTTCCATATATCACGGCTAACAATATCTAAAGGGGGATAATACTCCATGTAATCGACACATATTTTTTTTTTAAACGACAGAAAAATACGTCAGAATTTTCGATTCGGATTAACAGCGAATCAAATGATTTTTACTTCTTCTTTTTTTTTAACTAAATCGGTATGTTTATGTGAAATTGTTTTGAGATCCCCTCTAAAATGAATATAAAATACGTCTCCTAAAAAGATTTAAAGGTAAAAATGTTTCTTTGACGATTTTGGACAGATCGTGATTTCAATCGATATATAAATGTTTTACAGATTTTATTGCAGAGTGAGAGCTCTTAAACGTGAAAAAAGAGCCGCAAATTGTTTCTGTTTTCAGTAGCTTCTCAGCAAAAACTCTCCATAAACTAATTGAGCTAAACATCAGTTGAACGGTTTCGGAATTTAATCAGTTTGTTTTGATATTGTTTGAAAAGTTCGTTGCAATCGTAAATTATTTTGTAAATATTGTGTTGTGTTTGTTCTTTAAATTAATCGTTTTTTTTTCTTTTGACATAAAATGAAATTGTTTTCAACATTGAATAAAACATGTATTTCTTTTAGACGGCATCTTGATTTGGCGCATTGTTGCTTGTTTTGTCAACGGTCGTGTACAATATTTAGAACAACACTCATTAATTGTGCTTGAGACTGAACGTTTTTTTTTCTTCTTTTAAATTTTTAAACTTTTTTCATTAAATATTGATTGATAATAATTCGATTATTAACTAGGACGGGTGGAATTGTGTGTACGAAAGTTACCAGAAAAAGAAGGAATAAAAAAAAGAGGCAATCCCATCTAACTTCCAATTCCCATTTAACGGTTTTATTCAATTATTAATTTTTTTTTCTTCAATGAAAACATTTTATTGGCTCGGCATGTAAACAAATGGTGTTTTTCTCAGTAATTTGTACTAAAAAGAGCAAGTGAAGTAAACAAAGTAGAGAAAATAAAATAGATTTCTTGTTTTTGGATGGCCGTTTGATATTTGATAACAACTTTTCTTCTTAATTTCTTTTTAGTTGTGCAAATCTGTCTGTATGTGCACGAAAAGGGACGAAAAGTGCACAGACACACCTCGGTGCGTCTTCTTTATTTTTAGAATAGATCGATTTTAGCGTTTATTTCTTGTTTTGTGTACTTCAATTGAGTGTTCTTTTTATTTAGCTGCACTTTGTTCACAGCTTGTGTCTTTTTTTTAAATATTAAAATAATATTCGCTTGACTTGATTCTCTCTGTCAGTATGTATAATATTCAAATATAAGTTTATTTCTTTCATCGGTGTTTCTTTCATTTTGGGATAAATTCTGTAAAATGTTTTGTTGTTGTTGTTATAATTCATTTGATACAAAAAATACGTTGCTCCATATCTCCATTATTACTCTACAATTAGTAAATTACTGAAATTTTCTTCTGTTGCTTCCGTAAATATTCCAATTTTTTGCGTATAGAGCAAACAAAAACACCAAATGGGGGTAGTTTAAGTACAATCGATCAATCTTAAAGACTAGTTTCACATATTTATATTCCATATTATAGCTGCTTTCATTCTCATCGTTCTTCTTGACCATGTGTGACACGGTCGAGTATTCATTACTTTCTTCTTAACATGTTTTTTTCTCATCAATCTTATTGATTTTTCTTTTTTTATCAACAGGAAACAAAAACACAAAAAAACTCAACTCGTTCCTTTCCTTTCTCATCGTCACTTTTCACGTACAGCTCGGTGTAATTGTGTGATGTTCTTGCGCATTTAGTTTATCCATTGACAAAATTGTAGTTTAAACGTAGGTATGATTCAGAAATTATTACAATTCATTAAAGTGTGTGGTAGTGTGTTGGTTTGTTTGTTTCTTTGCACGTGCAAAGCCAATTGGATTCGGGAATGGAGTACGTTTCAACACGTGTACAGATACTTACAATTTGATTAATGTATAAACTAATGCTATTAATTTACGCTGTACGTCCAACTTTTGTTAAAAAAATGTCGTATTGTTGGCGTTGTTTCGTGTTGATGTTCTGCCAAAGCCAGATTTACTACCTCCGCGCTGTGGTGGCATTGGTCGTCTCGCGTGACGCATTTCTCTGCAAAAAGAACAAAAAACAACATTATTAAAACCCAACAATTGAATGTCAAATGCAATAATTGAAAGCAATTCATTACCGATCCATTTCCATTTCTTCGAGACGTTGGGTGACCGAGAGTTTTTGTTGGACGGCTAACCGTAGCAATTGATTCAAAGTCTTTTTCTCTTCTTCGGCTGCTTCCAATTGTCGGGTCAGATCATCGACCTGTGTAACGTACTCTTCGCATCGGGCGGCGAACATGGCCCGTAGGCTGGAGAATGTGGCGGCATCCTCCTTCAAAATGCGTAATTCATTACGCAATTTCGACATGGTGTCGCTAACAACGAGTTTCTCGTTTTCGTACTTTGATTTCAAATTGGTCAGCGCAACTTCGGCGGTGTTTTTGTTCGATTTCAGCACGGTGCGCAGTGTGCTGATCTGTTCGCGTTTTGTCGACAGAAGACTCTTGAGTTTCAGAACTTGCTCTTGCAATTCGTTGATCTCCTCTCGCGTATCTTGGTCGATCGGTGACAAATTGGCACGTGAACCGTTCTTGTTCAGTTCGATTGTGTGTTCAACAGCGGTTTTCAGGTATTTCAATTGGTCGCTAACGATGTCAACGTATTTCTTAATTTCTACGGAATCGGCCAACGCTTGTAAATCTTCCAAACCGTGTGTCTTTTGAATCAACACATCGGACTTGAATTGCGATTGGATTGCCGATAGTGAATCGTTCTCGTAGCTGAATTCTTCATTTTTATGGTCCAAAATAACACGTGATGGTGTCTCGCCATTTACAGTGCAAACCAAATGATACAATTGGGCCAAGTCTTCTGTCAAACCAACGAGTACGGAACGTGCCGATCCCAAACTTTGGCCAGCATTCTGCGAAATGGTAGCGAGTGTTTTGACGTCGCTGTGCAAATCGAGCGAGCGCTGTTCGGCAGACAAAAGCTTGTTCTTCAGATTTGTAATCTCTTCTCGCAATGTCACCATGGCATCAGAGTAGTTCAAGCCTTTCTGCAACTCGGCGAGGTCGATTTTCAAGCCATCGATCTCCTTTGAACTCAATTGGAACCAATTCGCGTACTGATTGATGATGAACGCGAGTTTCTCTTTCTCTTTCGACAGTTCCATTTGCTTCTCATCATTTTCGACCTGTTTCTTGAGTGACTGCAGAGCATCGACGTGCGCAGCCAACACCGATAAACGAGCCATAAAGTTTTGCAAATCATTCTGGCTCTTATCGAGATTTTGCTGGGCATCGCGCAAGTTTGTGGTCAAATGCGATTTCTCCGTTTCCATCGATTCCAATTGCTTCTCCAGTTTTTTCAACTCATTCAGATGGATCTCGGAGAAGAGGTCGACTTTTGTGCCATCCGGAGACTTGATTTCGGTCGTCAAATCAGCCTCTAATCGTTTGAGCGCTGAATTGTCTTCGTCGGCACAGTCGTCGCTATTGATATTGTTGTCTTCCATGCCGCCCCGTATCGTATATGCCAAATTACTGATTGTGTACATGGATTCCCGGTTGATATGTGCATCAAGCTCCTTTTTCAATGCGTATTTTGCTTCACGTTCACCCTGGAAATAGTAAAACAGAATTGATGTTATAATGAGGCACCGCTGGAAATCACCACGTGATGACAAACCTGTAGTGCTTCTAAAGCCTCTTCCATTTGCTTTTCAGCGATTTGTTTCAATTTAGTCAATTCCTCGACTTGTGAATTGAGCAAATCCAAATCTTCAGTCAGTCGCCGGATCTCATGTTTGGCGCCCTCGAACTCAACTTGTGAGCTTCGTAGGCTGGACACTTGCTTCTGCAACGAGATGTTTTCCTCCTCGAGTTCCGAGTAATCGGCCATCATACGGGTTTCACGGTACTTTAGATCTTTAAGCTCCATCTATTTTGGACAGAATAGAAGCGAAAACATTTTTAATACATTAAGGGGACCAATCAATAGTGTGCAGGTGTCTAAAAGCATACCTTCAGCCGCAGTTTATCAGCGTCAGCATCCGATTTATCACGACCAATATCACTATTCTCTTGTAACATTCTGTCTCGTTCATTCCGTACGCGATCCAATTCATGTCGTAGCTACAATCACACATTTCAAATGACAAATAATAGCAATAGAACTGTCAGTGTCAATCGTAATGAAATGCACTGTATCGATACTCACCTGCTTGATTTCATTCTCCAGGTCCATGATGTGGAGATTCAGCGAGGTTTCTTTCGCCGCCGACTCATTGAGAAGTGCATCTTCTTGTTCGATACCACTTTTGTTGGTCACTTTTTGTGTGGATTCAAATTTTGCCAAAGCCTTAATAAACGGAGAGAGAGAAAAAAAGAAACAAAACAAGAAAAATCAATAAACATACAATCACAACATGTAAACAACACTAAAATGAATGAAACGACATCAATTTGTGCACCGGTTTTCTTTTGTCAGCAAAATTCTCTTCACAATGGAATCCATTCACTGAAAAAGTAAAACGAAAAATGCACACACAAACACATGCGAATGAACACCGAAAATGTCATTGAGTCAGCTGTACGCGAAATTCATTAATTGCGCACACATCGAAGCGTTGAATATGTGGCTGCTTTCGTGTATCACTTTTCACCACCAATTCTTCTTCATCTGACGTTTCGATGAAATTGTTACGCATTCATTCGAAACGACGATTTTTTTCTTTCAACTTCACAATGTTCACTACACTTCTTCTTCTTCTTTTTTACTTTTCATTTTTGCTTTATCTTGATTTGCGATACAAAACCATCAATTAATCGGTCTAATTTACTCCATTTTGTGCGGCCGATCGAAGAAGAAGAGTAAAAACGATAAAATAATTATCGACGGCAAATGAATGGTCGTGCTTACCTCCTGTGTTTGTTCCAAATCATGTTTAGCATTTTCATATAGCATTTCGAGTTCCTCGCATTTTTGCTGCAGCATACATTTCTCCTCCAACAAACCAAGACCATATTTAGCCGATTGGATTTTTTCACTGCTCGCTTGATCCAATTCACGCGACAATCGCTCGATTTCCGCTCGTAATTCATTTAAATTGACCGTTTCCATGGTGTATTTGTTACGCGTGATTTATACAATTGAAGAAAAAAAAAGTGAGGTTCTTCGACACATACACACACGACGACAACACTTGCAATTCGAACTTCACCTGCTATCCCCTGCGTTGATAATAATCCTGATGTAGAAAAAAAATAATTTATCCACAAAAACCATCCAATTGGAACAATTCGCACTTTTTTTTTCAATTTTTAATCTTTTTTTTCTGTAATTTTCATTTGCTTGCCTTCATTTACTCCATTCGAAATGCACTACGTGTGTGTGTAGGAATTACTTTTAATGAACACTCTTTCTCCGTTGCTGGTCTCTCTCTGCCACAAATCAATGTTAACAAAAAGTGAGCGAATTTACACGTCTGCCTTTTCAACGTTTACGTTTTTAATTTATCAACGCGTTCCAAATAAAAAATTGAAACAAGATAAAATGGAATTTAAGTAGAAAATATAATCGAAAATAAAACAAATTTTTTTTTTGTAATGCAACCGAGAGAATGAATTTCGTTTTGTATTAATTTTTGATGTCGCTACAAAATTCACTCTAATGACATCATGGCAGCAGAGCAGCAGAAAAACTACACAGCGACTGAATATGCTTGTCGTTGTGAACTTCAACAATGATGATTGAACAAATGATGACTGATGACTGTGTTATGGAATGTTTTCGTTTCGGAAAGAAAATTAGAACAAACACCTATGCGTGTACACCGAATCCACTGTTATTTTCACCATTTGACGATTGATTGTGTGTGATTGTATGTTGCGGCCGTGCGTGTGTGTGCGTGCACAATTCGAAATTCATGTTTCTTTTCGAAGTGTCAACGCGTACTTTAGGCACTTTGAGTATCATCGAAATGGATTGAGTACATTCGAATGAGAAAGTGACAGAAGTTCATTTTTCAGCAATTAATTTAAAAACCGAAGGAAACTTGATTCTATTTTGATGATTGTCAATAAAATCGATTACATCAATTTGAATTTTCAATATTGAGCATCGGTTGCTAAGACAAAAATTGACACATTTAAATCACTTCAACGGAATACTTTCCACTGACAATCGAATCTACTTTGATACATTTCTATCGTACAGTTGGTGTTCATTCTGTTTGACAGTTCGCCAAACAAAATTCATCCTAGAGTAAAAAAAATACTGTAAATAAAAACGCCTGCTTAAACAATACATGTAGTTTTGTGATGCATTAAATCATCCATATCATACGACGCAGACAATTTCATTGAAATTAGATAGAATCCAGTGTAATTTTCAAGTATTCCGGCCGCACATGAATAATTTGTGGCACATACAGTATTTAGAATGTCTTAGATAAGAAAGAATGTCTTGTTTTATGTGCAAATCAATCGAAAATAGTTACATGTGAGAAGTGTGAAACAAAGCACGTCTGTCGAAATTTCGTATCGTCGAACAACAGAAAAATTGTTCGATTTTTTCAGACGATTTCGTCATGGAAATGAAAAATGTGATTGCACGTGAAGGACGAGAGGCAAAAAATCTAATTATTTATCATTTGTCCAGCGAAGATGAAAGTAATTTGGAAATTTTATTCCATTATTGCGCATTTCTTGGTGCTAATTCTATGTATTTTTCTTCATGTTTGATAGAAACAAATGCTAAAAAGCCTCCAACACACATCCGGCCCACAGTATTAAATCGAAAGATAAGTCTATCGGAATCCCAGTCACCGGACAAATCAAATCGGCGTGTGCGAAGCGCATCAACCGGACGTGATAAACGGTCTGAATTACAGGCACGCTACTGGGCACTGTTGCTCAGCAATTTACAACGTGCCGTCAACGATATTTATCAAACGGTCGAGTGTTATGAAAATTTGGCATCGTGTCAAGAGGTAATTTTGGTGTTAGAGAATTATACGCGTGATTTTCGGGCGCTAGTCGAATGGTTTCGCGTTTCATGGGACTATGAAGCAACACCGCAGCCACAGCGACCTCAATTCCTTGCTTGGGAAGTGCGCAAAAGTAATCCAGCACCACGTGAGTACTTCAAGGTGATATTTTTGTCGACTATCAACTGAATGAATAATCGATTTTCCAATCAATTTTTAGCGATACGTGCAAAAAGTTTGTCCAGTCCTAGTCCAAATGCATCAGGCAAATCGAGTCCGTGTCCCAGTTTTTCGGGTAAAGTCAGTCCGTGCCAAACAATCGATGAAGTGAAATTGGCAACATCGCCACGCAAAAAGCTACTCGACATCAAAACAAATATAGCATTAACCAGCAAACCATCGACGGTGGATCGAAATCCAAAAAACCCGCGACTCAATTTGAACGGTAAAGTATCTAAATCTGAAGGTGAAACAAATGGTCTGTTGCACACTATTGAAAATGGTATATCGAATGAGACTGAACTCACAAAAATACCCGAAGAAACTCAACACATGACATGGGGCGATTTGGTGGAACAAGATGAATCTCAATGTGCAATGCAAGAGTCTAATGCAACGGAAGGCATAGTCGAAGCCGAATCTAGCGAACCGGTACTTACTTTTGACCAGTATAGTCAAACAAGCGGATTTATTGATGAATATTTAACGCTGCAACAGTGGCGCGATAAATATGAAAAGAATGAAAACACAAACATAAATACTGAAGACTCCAAAACGCCAATCGAATCGGCTGTCTCTCACACCACAAACAAACTCGACGAAATGGAAAACATTTTCTTGAAAAAGAATGCAAATCAACCTAGTAATCTCATTCAAACCACTGTTGACCTCTCACAGGAAAATGTACTGAATCCGAAGAAAGGTGCAGGCGATGCCGATGAAACGAAAAGTGCCATTGTAGAAAACGCAGACAACAAATCGACTCAACCGGAAGAGAAGAAAGTGCAAACTGGTGCCCAATTAAAGTATTCAAATGTTGTGATTCGACCGTCGATTGCAGCTAAGCCAAACAGTTTGCAAAAAGTCACGTCGAATCGATTGCAAACCACAAAACCGACAGTTAACACTATGGGACGGTCGTCTGTTACACCGAATGTTATGGTAAATTCGAGTTTGGCTCGTAAACAACCACTGAGAAGTTTACCAGTTGCGCCAATGAACAAACCGAAGGTTATCACTCAGAGAGAACCCGTTATGAAGGATGGAGACAGGCGAATGATCAGAGCCGCAGTGCCTCGCACAAGCGGAGTTCCATCGAACACGGCTTCTCGTCTGGCAGCTCGATCAAAAACAATGATTGATTTAAATAAACCAGTCAATTCGAATGTATTGAAGTCTTCATCCCGAGACAGCATGAACAGCTCAACATCGACACTTCGCGCCAGCAACAATCTAATTTCCAATTCACAAACTAAATTGAATGTACGGCGCTCAGAGCCACGATCGATTCCAACACGGAACGAAGACGACGATGGATGGTTGACTGTAAAGGCACGACGCCGTTCGAGTTTGCATTGGTCCAACCGATTTAATCAGCCATCAGGCTATGCCAGCTTACCAACCCTGGCTCTACTCAACGAAAAAGAGCCACCACCGAAATTTTCCAATAAGAAGGAAAATAAAAAAGCCGCTAAACCAGCACCGAGCAAATCGGTCGAAGTTGAAACAACCAAACCGAAAGCTGTTGCGGTGAGTACCGCAAATGGTGCTTGTGTCAAAGAGAAAATGGTGCCTTCATCAGTCGCAAAAAATGTGAATGTGGATTCCAAAGCAAAACTTAAGCAAAACTTAAGTTCTGTTGAACAATCCGATTTGAAAACGAAATTGTTAACTGCTAAAGAGACTGAAAAACCGGTATCGATTGTTTCGCGTGCAACAATTTTGCAACGTCAACGGTCTGACATCACCGGACTCAAGCTGAACAGTCTCCGCAAAGAGTATTTCCGTAGTGAGAAAACCAAGAAAATGAAGGAAAACTCAAAGAAAGCAACTAAGAATCAAGACGACGAACTAAAATTGAGCGTACACATGAATGTCCAAACTAGCGATAAAGTGGGCTTATCATCGACAGTGAATGAATTGTATACTAGCCTCACTGAAAGCGAGTCACAGAATAACGAAAATAATAAACGGGACACTGAGAGCGATAACGAAACTGAAAGCGATGAAAATCAGCGGAAATTGCTTGAAGAAGAAGAGTGCTTGGAACGGCAAATTGCTGAATTGCGAAATACTGAAATTGATGTGGATATGGAAATTGATGACACGGAATGTGATACGATTCTTGGATTGAGTGAAGGCGATCCATCGACTGAGCTCGAGCAATGCGATGACAATATGAATTTAGAGGCAAAATATCATCATTTACTATCCGATATGTCAACTGGTGAACGGATTCAAACTCTGGCCACGTTACAAGCCTTCGTCAGTCGACACCCTGGCAGAGCACAAGAGTTGCATCAAAAATTATCCAGTCCATCACATAGATCGTTGACTGAAATTTTGGAAAAGTATCAAGAGAAACAAGAGCGTGCCAGAGACATGAGGGAAACATTGAACAAAGAGAAAACATTCAAATTGCAAACGCTATTGGCTCGTGTGGAAGATGTTAAAATTGCGAAACAAAAACTTATCGAAGAAAAAAGGCTGAGAATGGAAGAGAAACTGCAAAGGTACGCCGAAAATAGGAACCAATATATCAAACACAAAATTCGAAAGGCACATGACGAAGAGGAAAAGCTTAAGGAAATTGCATTCATCAAGAGTCTCGAAGCACAAAACAAACGCTTGGATTTGATGGAACTACGGAAAGAACAAGAGGGTCGCCTACAAGATTTGGAGGCTGAACGACAAAAACGAGTCGAGGAAAAGGCAGCTAAGGAAGCAGCTGTTGAACGCAGACGTTTGGAGTTGGCATTAGAACGTCAAAAGCGATTAGAACGCATCGACGAGACTCGCCGCGAAAGGGAACAACGAGTTGTGTCTATGCAAGAGGAACGCGAAAAAATGCGACAACAAATTGCTCGGGAAAAGGTAATTCGCGCGGTTTATGTCATTCCGATTCTGTTAAAATTAAATCTGTAGTAGTTTTCTTTTATTTGTTGAGAAATGTTGAAAAATTTATTGAATTACACAATTAATATCTGCAATCGGAAGCATTTGATCACTGTTTGAAGAAAAAAAAAACATTTCTCTTCTCCAAAAGGCACGTGACAGAGAAGAACGTCTATTGGCTTTACAAGTGCAACAGCAGCAAACAACCGAAGAGCTTCAGCGAAAGATCTTTCAAAAGCAACAAGAATCGGCGCGCAGACACGAAGAAACGATCGAGCATATTAGACAACGTGCATTAGAATTGAGCATTCCAAGCCGAAACGTAGACGACACGAACTCAAATCGAAACGAAAATTCGGATAATACACCAAATGATGATCTCTCGTCAGTCGTTTCTGACCTTTCAATCGATTTGACAAAAGCGTCGAAAAAGAAATTGAAGAAAATTCGTCAACGTATGACTCAGATGGCCGATGAATACACGAAAGATCTGGAACCGGTGCCATTATACATGAAACGCGATAGTTCCGTACCGAAAATATTAACTATGATACGAAAAGGTGGCGGTCCACAGGGTATGGAACGTCCATTGGGCCAACTGACTCGTACTATAGCCAAAGCTGAAGTATTCGATTTCCAGTGTTTATGGCTCATGGATGGCTTGGGTGCACTAGCTGCAATCATAAAGTCGGCTCACGAGCCAAACTCAGAAATATCGAGGAAGTAAGAGAATGAACAAAAACATCACGTTCAAATATAAGAAATCATATTATATCAAAATATAAACGATTTTAATTGATTTTAGGGCAATGATCATGGCAATACAGTGCTATCGAGACTCGTGTTCACCCTGTATCCAAATCGCCCGGCATGCAATTCTAGGAAATTCCATCTCAGTCTTATTCGATGTCTTATTGCACAGTCTGCAGGTAAATAACCGAGAAAAAGAAAAAAGAAAAAAAGGAAAACAACAATATAATCGACACGTTCGATCAGTCGTTTAATTTATGCGATGGCACTTCGGTTGAATGAATGCGCATGGACTTTGCAAAAAGTAATAAAAGTGAATCGTAGTCGAAAAGTATTGGTAAAACGTTTCAAGGTCATTCACATCGCATGTATACGTGACATTGTATTACATATTACATGCTTAATGTCTCTGACTGCCAATCGATAGCTTTGGCATAAAATATAAATTCCGGTAAAATATGGCCTACATATTCGATACTCTATCGATATGATAGTTGATGTGTTGGGAAAGTCGTAAGGCATTGCCATAAAATGGTGCGTGCAGTTATTGTTTTTCGTTATATTCCTCAAATGGTTAACAAACCGACAAAAACAATGTGCAATTAGAATTTCGTCACTTTTTATATGTATGTATAAAACACTAGATCTTTGTTGTTCGGATGTTGTTGCTGTTTGAAATACTCTAACCACGATTAAATGAAAATACAAAATTTACTCTCTTTATTTTGTCCTCTCTGTTGCATGCATTACTCAATATCATCAGACACCAGATGAGAAGACACCATCGCATCCGATTGAATTGTCGACGGAGCTTATGTTAGCGACCACAGTTGTCTTATCTCCATTCAATGTACTGAAACAACCACACCCAAAGGTTTTGGAACGCCTACCAGATGTAGTGAGGTAAGTCACTCACACAACCACACCACACTTAATACATACATTTTGAACGGTTCAGCACAACGAAATACATAAAACGAAAATAAATAACGAACACAGAGACATGCACGTCGTGGGGCGATGTGTTTAGTGCGCACACTCCGCACTACAACCATATGAGTCGTATTCAACACTGTCGCAAGTATGTGAGAGTCGAAGTTTACTTTTTCGGATTTTACTGTACCGAACTCTTCGCATATTTTATTCATGCTGAGCCGTTCGGTTGGATTTGTGCGAAACAGAGACAAAAGTATGATCAGATCCACATAAATACGGTTGAATGCTCGGCTCAACATGCATTGTTAATGAGTTGCGTAGAAAAGAAAGAAAGCGTTAGCTGTAAAATATAAGACGAAGGTGTTGAACGACATACACATATTTGTTGATACGTTGTTAGTTTTTTTTTTATGGTGAAACGATTTACGCTACAAAAACTTATATTGAAAATATCGGTATTTCCGATTTGAAATTCAGCATACCGTACATACTTTTCGATTTGGTCAGGAAGCTCCTACATATGGGTGATTTTCAATGGTGCATACAACACGACAGAAAAAAAACACAACATAAACATTGCCGCAAATGTTGTTTTAGAAAACAAAACACAAAACCAAATCCATGATTGACTTTTTTAAGCCTAATTCAAAAATAACATAGTCAAATTGGACGAAACAACGCCTTCGATATACATAGGTACAATGGAAAACTAAAATCAATCCTTTTGGAAAACAACCAAATTCCGCTTTTTCCCTCTCTCTCGCTCGTTCGGGACCGGAAAATATGCTCGCATTGCGTTCACAATATTGATGGTTCGACGGTATGTTTCATTTACCAATCAACATCAGACTACAATAACACAACGCAGTCAGTACATGACAGCTTTGAATACACACTGCCTCAGTAGTGAATTCTAATGCTGGAACACAAAAATCAATTTACATGCGAGTTTGTAATTTCATTTCAATCGAAATGAAATTATGGCATTAGCTGTTGTTGTAACCAAACATCGAACACATTCAGGTCTGGAGATAGAGAAAAAAAATTCGGAACCACACACAAGTCGAAAAACCGACAAACCAAAAGCGCAAAAAAAAAACTAGGGAAATCAACTCTTTCTAGTCTATTTTGACTGAGTTGATGACAAACATCTGGATATGACTTGAACTGTTTGCTGTTTTTCTACTCGAAATTTGTTGTTGTTTGTAACTCTAGTTTCACCGTTATAGTTTCATATTTCCAGCGCAACTTGTGTGGCAGACTGTTTTTTTCTGTACCTGAAAGGACAAAGAGAATATGCTTAATACTCATACAACTACAAAATTGTTCAGGAAAGTTGTTGTTTTTTTTGCTCTGGATATGATTTCGTGATATCAACCATATTGAGAGTTTCGATTTAAAACCTGCGAGTGGAAAAAAGTCGATAGTCAACAAACTCAAATGTCATGTGCTCTCATTTTGAAGGCCTAAAGGGAAAAAAATTATTTCATTTCGTAATTGTACAGTTGAAAACATCATAAGCAACAAAAAAACGGTTGAATTGAAGAAGAAAAAAAAATGTAAAAAACCAAAATCCCGACCGAATGAATCACGGGCCGTACAGTGTGAGTTTCATCAAAAACTTCACTTTTTCCTATTAATTTTTTTCCCTCTGTACTTTGTTGTGCTCGTTTCCATAATTATTATGCGTATTTCTGTCAAAAGTTCCAATTGATTGGCATTCTTCCGATCTTCCGAATAAATCATGAACCGAACAGAGCGCCGCGCATCACATTCCTAGTTTATGGAATCACATTGGCGGCATGACGAAATTTTCAATTTCATATTCTACACGTCATTCAACGCGAATGCGAGGCCAATAAGATCGGGTTTCAGAAAAACTTATCAATTATTTACGACCCAGAAACAATTTTGTAAAAAGAGAACAGCACAAAAAGTAGAAGAAGATGAAAAAAAATTGGCGGCATTCCATTTCTACTCGAAAAACCTCAATGCAGGTAATTCACACAAAAATCGTTGATTGAAAAATGGAAATTCACGTTGCATAGGAAAACCTTGCGTCAAACTTATGCAAAGTGAGCGCGCGCGAGCGAGCAAGAGAGCGTTGGTGAACAAACAGGATTCGGTCGATTGAAAGAATATGTCAAAATATCTGTTGAGCCGTCAATCAAATCAGCAAAAGTAAAAACAAAACGCTGCAACAATAACTGATTCAAAATTCAATGAAACATTAGCAGGAGAGGGAGAGTGAAGCAAATTATGAATATTCATGTTGGCACCGTTCTGTTCGGTTCGAGTTTTTTTTTCGTTTTCTTTCTCTCTCTTTTCACTCGAACATTTTTAGCGGACAAGGCTTGGATATGTATGAATGGCAAAACGTCCTGTCGAAAAACTATGTCTAAATAAATTGAATGAAATTTTAAAATGCAATCGGGTATTGAGACACCTCTTACATCTGCTCGATTTTGCCTTTCAACAAATATGCATAAGATATTCAAATGTTTCAGCCAGTTTCAGCCCTGAAATGAGCAGCGTTCCATAAACCATTCTCCGTCTTTTTTCCTCATTTGTTCAGACAGTTTTACACTAGTTTGCCCTGATGCAACTCACTCGAACCCATTCAATTCAATTCAATTCGGCTCGACTCGCTACATTACCATTTAAACCATCAAAAAGGGTGATGAATATTTTTCAACTTGAATCAGCTTTGATTTTGTATTCTCCTTTCGGTGGTATGTGTTTGCAACTCTGTAAACTCTTTGCTCTGTACTTATAAAGCCATAAATAATGTGCATATTCAGAACATGAGAAAATTCCCGACACCTCTTTTTTTTACTCTATTATTATTATTATTCCGAGCCGTTTTAAACTGTATACAACAGCCCGAAAATTGGTATAATAAAAAAGAGGCAGGCAAACAATGCAATATATTTTTATTAAATTAATATATCGCATTATGAATTAGTGGCAATGAAATGGTTATTATTATTAAATAACAACTATAGAAAAGCCTGTAATAATGTACTTGCTGTGGCTATAGTGTGTGCCGTACTCGTGCAGTTGACAATATTCGAATGCAACACATATGTCCTTAATGAACTAGCAGCACATAGTCTGTGGATAAAGTTCATCATCATATTGAAAATCATACATTCGAATTTCAGTGGCGGTCGCATTTTTTTTCTAAATGCATGCATAATAATGGGCTCACATGAAATCATTATAATGAGCGCGCATGCCATTTGAATGATGAAGTCGGAGACTATGTGCCGATTGAGAATTGAATAATAACCGAATGATATAGACATTGAATGTATGTCGAAAGAATGTCGTGTGCACTTTGCCGGTGAACCATTTACCCAATTTGAAATCCCAATCGAGCACTTTGGCAGGTGCAGACTAGTCGAAAATATCAACGATTTTTTTTTCATTCAATATCAAGTCTGAATTTAAATTTAAATTTGTATTCGATGTTTTCTTGGCTCTCTTATAATAATTCACGTTCAAAATGAAGAATAATGAAATTGAAACCGAAAAAAAGAACCAGATAAAATCCATAACAAATTCGATACAATTTTATTGTCAGTTTGTTATTTGTAACTTAATGTTGTTCATTTGTGAGCTGTGTTGTTTGTGTGCACCAACGTTACACTCTAATCGGAATGGCTATAAAAACGGAAAGTGACCGTTGCGGTTGGAGAAGAACTAGTTTAGTCTTCGTCGAACAACAAAAATCACTTTTTTGGCACACGTCCCTCTCGACATTTATAATACGTGTAAATATGGGCACGGCATAGCCAAATTGATTCTTTTTTCGCGCGAATATGTATTTTTTTAGGAATAAATTTACATACAAAAGTGATAAGAAGCGTTTTTTTTTGGCAGAGTTGAATAGCTTTTGTCTCGTGAGCCGTCAGTCATGGACAAATTGTTTTTTGATCGATTAAATATAGTCATTGGCTATTTGTTCAACGTGATACAGTACAAAAGGCAGTACTGCGATGCCAATGTTCCAAAGCCAATTATTGGGTCCAATTTTCGCAACATCTAGTTACTTATTCGTCTATTTAAAGGCGCCATTCATTCATTGTTTAATGTCATTGAATAGAGTGAGCATCGATGGCTGGCTAAAAATGGTAAGAGATCCCAAAGCCACGGCGACTCGCACTTGTGCAAACACAAAACTCTCTAAATAGAGCTAAAATATCGTATTGCTCTCGGTTCCTCTGCAAATAAAACGACCATCAAACTTTCATTCCAACTATTCCAAAGTGTTCGTACTTTGAGTGTGTTCGGCTTTATTCAAGATTTTTATCCACAACAAATGATTCAAATCTATTCACTGAATGGCACTGTGTTTCGCTTCGTTTTGCTTAGACATTAAATACATCCAGCATTCAGAGTTTGTGTGTATTTTTTTGTCCACAATTGCTCTTGTTGATGTTTATGCTAGAGTTTCGGCATTTGTTTATTTTGAATGGAATTACAACTAGAGAACCGAATACAGAGAGAGAAAAAAAACGCACTGAAAAAAGAATGCAAGAGACGCCGAAATGAAAACACACGATTGCCACTTGAAATCGTCACATGCATTCCACTTGAATAATTCTCACGCACGACATGTAGCTCCCTTTTCGAGATGAAGTCTGTTGCCGATGAACACAAACGCTGCTGCTCTTGAAATCGTCTATTCCTTTTCATGTTACTTGATAAAAGTTGTCATTTGATAAGCATGATACATTGTGAATAACTTTGCAAATGGAAAATGCTTTAGAAAAATGCGTTTTCAATATGTTGGCTTTTTTCTCCCTTGCAAATGACGATACAAATGGCACTTTTTGTCACATCGTGAGTTCGTATTTAATCTCAGATTGAGATTTATGCTCCACTAAACTTGCTCAACAAACGGCTAGAAGAGCAAAAAAACGCCGATAACAAAATACGCATTTTATTTATTAGTACGAAGT